TTTTTTTTTTTTTTCTCTTTTTAAAATTCGCAACAGTAACTCGCCGCGGCGAGAGAGAGATCGGTTTTGTTCGCTGTATCGTCGCTGTTAATAAGTAGCAAGCACTTATCGGCGGTTCGTCCTGATGAAACGCAATAAGGACTGGCTCTCCTGTTTCGGGGATCGTGATTTCCCTCCCTCTTTCTGTCGTCCGTACGGGAATGTCGTAGTCGAGCGAGCGAGTATCGTTTGGCCAGCGACTCGCTGGTTCACGTTCACATTCGTCTAGATCGTCTCACGCGTGAACCACGAGCCAACAATCTCTAGCTGGTTTGCTCGCTCTGTGACGCGCGTTACGTGTACCTACATACATGCATACATACATACATGTATGTATACGTGTATACGTTCGTTGCAAACGGATTTTTTTTTTTCTTTCTTTTTTCTTTTTTACCGTAGGGCGAGAAAGAAGAGCAAACAGAGCGCGTAAACTCGCGCGATGGTTTCGCTCGCGTCGGCACAACTCCTCACGTTCGGCGTTTCGCGACTCTTGAACAAGTTTTTGTCTTTGATGAATGGCGCCCGCGGGTCCACCGTCGTCGAGGTGGTCACGTGCTTGCTGTAAACGATCCTCGCGGTGCTCTTCTGCATGGCCGGCGTGCTCATCTGATGCAAAATCCGATTGATCGTGGTGACTTGGGTGAACTTCGATCTACCCTTGCTCAGCTTGTTCCAGCTTGCCGAGGTTGTCCGGGTGGGCGAGGTTGCTCGTTCGATCTCTGAGAACAATTCGCCTGTATATAGACACATATATGTACGTACATGCATAGGGTAGGTCGAGGTGTGCCATGGAAAACACCGCCTGCAACACAGCTCGAGCGCTTTATCAATCGTTTCTACAAGCAAGACGTCGCCGTCGTTTGAAAAAACCGGCTCGTCGACAAATCACGGCCGAGGAAATCGTATTTTCAGTCACGCGGGGCTGATTCGCGAAGGGCAGAGATGGAAAGTGTCACGCGTACGTCGTCTACACGACTGGAGGACGATCGTCGATCGCGCGTGGCTCGACTCACCGTGCACCCTGAGGGTGGCGTTGGCTTTCCCCATGCTTGACGACGCTGAACACGTGTACTCCCCCAAATCCGTTTTCTCTAAACGTCTTATCTTCAGCTCGCTCGTTGTCTTCCACTCCTCGTCCGGATGTCCCCTCTCGTCGATTTCGTATCTGCCGCTGTTGACACGTGTCACGGCTTAACTTCGGGAAATACGAGTACGTCGTCTGTGCGAGCCTGGTCGCGGTTGAACAACACAAACATTCCACCAGGGGATACATACCCGCTCATAATGACTTGCTCCTTTCTAGTCCACAGGTTGATGGTCTTTGGGTAAGCCTCGATCAGACAGATCAGCGATACGTCCGTGTCCAATGGCGAGCTCAACAATTGATTTGGAACCTTCACGCTGGGTGGGACTGAAATTCCAGCGGATAATAAAACTCGAGAGCGATCCGCTTTTCCAGCCTAACGCTGGCGTGACGCACACACACACACACACACACACATATACACATATGCATAGCGCAGAATCAGGAGATTGGTACCATCGAGCTTCGTGCAAACATTGCGCGGATAAACGCGATTGGCTTGGCGGGATACGCTTGCTGGAATTTCCCGATGTAGAGAAATATCGTTCAAGTTGGCGGAATAAATCAAAAGGACCCGGGTTTGCCCAACGATATACATATCAATATATATTCGGTACACCCATAAGTAACTAAGTTTTATTACACAGCTCACTTGACAAGTGAACTTCCTGTTGGTTAAATATTGAGAAGAATTTGAAATTATTTCCTTATTGGATCTAAAATGACTTTATACTTCTTTTCATTTTCATTGGGGGATTTAGAAACAACGATGAGATGTGTTAGAGATCAACAAATGACCTGTCTGACACGACTTCAAATGGACCAGTGAAATTTGACGATGACGCCTTAAAATCTGATACAAGGTTAACAAGGTTCTGTGCCGTATGTACCACCGGTGGTACACGTTAAACACTTGATTTCAGTTCACGTGTACCATCATATTTCTAATAATATTACCACAAGTGGTACACGATGTGAAAGCTACTAAGATTAACGATGTAATGAAAGATTGTGTAGTCAAAATATCAAATGGCCTGAACGACAAGTCAGGCAAAAATGGCTTGGCACGGAACGTGTTCAGTGATATACAGCCTTGGGTTCACCTGATCAACTGTACAAAGGTACCTACATGAAATGTCGGCAAGGTACGCACAGACCAAGGGATATGGGATGTTTACAAGCAACAGAGATCTTCGAACAGTTTGCACTTCATTGCTCACCAGATTACAGATCCATCTCTACTCAGCATCGATCCTCTATGACAACTTGACGAACAATGGCTGTCTTCAGACCAGCCTTATCCCTGAGAAAAGTTTTATCGTTTGATGGGGTCAGAGTGGTATAGTTCGAGTTATTGAAACCTGGTTTGTATTGCCACAACAATTACAACGACTGCGTTCTCCAGATTGTTAGGGGGACAAAAATGGCAGTTTTAGTAGTACCCCAACAAATAATTGATTACTTATGGGTACCCCTATTGTATATCGAGTACGAGTAAATTGTATAGACGATACACAATGCGTATGTATGTACGATCGTATGTATGTACGATTACTCGATAATTCGAAGGTACTCACAGTTCACTCTGAGATAGACCCTCTTGCTGACCGCTGGGGGTACTTCGTTTTTCGCTATACAAAGGTAAGCTCCCATTTGCCTCCTGTCCACCTTGGTTAATTCCAGCCTCTCGCCGGACTGGTTGTCCACTATGAAAATCTCGCGTCGTATGAATATCTCTCGTTGAAAGCTCTCGCGTACATATCGCTGGCCACGGGCCAAGTGTGTTCGCGCGTATATACCGAATTACACGCGAAATATGCACGTTCCACGCGCGTTGTTGTTAAAACAACAACAACTCTGTGCGCTACAACCCTAAATCTCGCGTCGGAGAATTTGCACGAACGATTTGTGGACGATACGTCGATTTAAGAAACGACGATTTACATACGTACACACAATCGGAAATGCCATTACGCAACTCTCTCTCTCATATCGCGTGCGTCGCTCGTGTATCGAACGAAGGCGTGGTAAGTTGAAACAGAGAGCCGACAACTATTCGCCAACTACTGTCGCGAATTTAATGATCGATAGGGAACGAAACCGCGGCGGCCCTAACCGTGAAATTCCTGGGAGGACTGCGGCGAGAACAGCGCCGAGAAAGTTGTTAATCGTTTATCGGTTACGATATATCACGATATATATATATATATATATATATATATATATATATATATCGTTTAATTAT